ATAGATAGATAGATAGATAGATAGATAGATAGATAATGAAAAGATTGAGATAGAGAGATATAGAGTGGACAGATTGAGATAGATATTTAATGAACAGATTGAAATAGATCGATAGATAGATAAATAATGAAGAGATTGAGATAGATAGATAGATAGATAGATAGATAGATAGATAGATAGATAGATAGATAGATAGATAATAAAGAGATTGAGATACATAGATAATGAACAGATTGAAATAGATAGATAGATAGATAGATAGATAGATAGATAGATAGATAGATAGATAGATAGAAAATTTAGCAATTCCTTATTTTCGACCGAATAATTTTACGGTTAAGCCCTCAAATCATTGCACTATCTTCTTTATCTTGAGAAACACAATCAAACGTTCAGAGCAAATAGGTAAAAATCAGGTAGTGAGCAATAGAAAGTGAGACAATGAACATATACACATAGATAGATAGATAGATAGATAGATAGATAGATAGATAGATAGATAGATAGATAGATAGAATCACAAACAAATAATTATAACAACATAAATATTACAGGATATCAATAGCAACATCTAAAATGTAGAGCTCATGTAACTCGAAGAGAGAGAGGGGGAGGGAGAGAGAGAGGAATGATATGATCAAGTTGTTGACATTCTGCACTACATCAAACAAAAGGTTAGGTAGGAAAATCCCTTCAATACTTGAAAGAGAAGTATGTGCATATATATTATATAGATTTTAACCGACAGTAGTGCAAGCTTCTCAGTAAATAATTGACGATTATTTCCTGATAGGAAAACAGCTATTAACACCATTTACGTTTTTCATGAATCTTCCATTCAATTTCGTTGTTTTTATCTGTTTTTTTTAATTTTATTTTTCATTTGTTTCTATCATATTACTTACTTTCTCATCAAATTCTGCATGTTTAAAATTCTTTTATAATTATCCTTTCAGTTTATTCCAATGCTTTATCTACGTCCTTCATGTCTTTAATAAAGTCATTTTCATAAAACTTATTGCATCTGAAGGAATAATTCCCTACAACGATAAACATTAATCGACTGTGTCAATGATGAAGCGTTTTAATATTATGTAGTCTTCCTGGCTTCGGTAACTAAGAGAACAACATTCTTAATTCCTAATAAAATAAACATTTAAGCTGAAAGCCATATCACACATTATGCTCACACACACGAACACACGCACATATATAGACAGACACGAACGCACACATATATAGGCGCACACGAACACACACATATATAGGCGCACACGAACACACACGCACTCACACAAACACACACACATATATATATATATATATGTTAGTATATATCACTTATATAAAATAATGCACACAAAAAAATACAGTTGCACACGCATATGTATTCATAGATTAATAGAAGTAAACACAAGAGGAAAATAATTTATGCCGACGTGTTTTGTTATTTTAGTAAATTTACCAAGATAATTGTTTAAATTATACCCTAAACATGGGTTTATGCACAGGGAAATTGTAAAATTCAGAATAAATAATCTTATGTCTTCGATTGTGGCAGCATTCGCCAGCTTAAACAAGGAGACCGTTCAGTAATGTTGCGGGAGATTCCGAAGTCGTCTTGAGGCCTTGTTTGGAGCCACCAGCAATTTTATTGAATAAATATACTCTTTTCTGTTTCAGGATATTTTTGTGTAATTTAGGTAAATATATCTGTTAAAATGAGATATCAGTGTTATTTTATTTGTGCGTAACACACGCAAACACACACACACACACACATATATATATATATATATATATATATATATATATATATATATATATATATATATATATGTGTGTGTGTGTGTGTGTGTGTGTGTGTGTTGTCTATAGATGAGATGATTATGTACACTATTTACATCGGACTATTGTCTGCACATTTGTCGCCATATTTTTATTACAATTATTCGGCCGTTGTACGCTCCGGCCTTCTTCAGATGGTTGGAATATCGAACTGAACCCTTTATTTCGCTCCCTGGGGTAGAATATTCTAGTTCCACGTGTCATGTTTAATGGATGTCAGTTATCAGTTATCTCAGGAGATAACTGATAACTGATATCCAGTCCTGTCACTGGATCTAACCAACGCCTTTAGCCGTTGTGTCATGTATCCTTGAGCGTAATAAAGAGTTCAGTTCGACATTCCAACCACTTGAAGAAGGCTGGAGCGAACAACGGCCGAAACGTTGTAATAAATATTGCGACAATAGTCAGAATGATGTAAATATATATATATATATATATATATATATATATATATATATATATATATATATATATATATATATATTAAGAAATGAAAAAGTCCGACAATTTATTAAAGACATTTTTATGTTTAACATTCTTTTTATAGATACAAGTATTTATAAATGTTTGTTTATAATAAATAGTATTAAATAACATTTACCGGCCTGATTCGAATCTGCATCCTATACGGAACCGTCATTTAGCGTGCGTATAGGATGCAGGTTCGAATCCTGTCAAAGGACGAATAATTTCTATGAAAATTTCTCGGACATTCAGGCCGGTAAATGTTATTTAATACTGTTTATTATATACAGAGCATTTATTTAAATATTTGTATATTTATATATATATATATATATATATATATATATATATATATATATATATATATATATATATATATATATAATATAAATATAAATAAATATATATATATATGAAATTATTTATATATTATATGCATGGTACTTATTAGAAAGCGCTTTATCAGAGATAGAGCTAACATATTTGGTTGATCTATCCAACCAAATATATATATATATATATATAATAATGAACTTTTCGATTTTATCACAGAACGCCGTTTATGTTTCTGCTCAATGAAATTTAAACCTGATTTGTCGCAAATTAATTGAATTTTACTTTATTTATCGATTGCACCGCCATACATCAGTTGAGGCAGATCATCCACATGTCGACCAATTCAAATACAATACGTTTTGTTAACAGTTTTTTAGATTTTGGAAAAATAATTTCACAATATTTTTCACCATATCCCAATTGAGAACACATTATCTTTGATTTTATCTTTCTATCTCACAAGGGGTATTCCAACATTACACCGGCCAACAAGACGTTGACAATTCGTTAAAATATTCTAATATCTACTATCAGCCATTCCTATTTTATTACCGACTCATCTAGGACGATTTTCATCTTAATAGACAATTCTTCGTTGGAATTCTATTCTTCCATTTGTATCCACATAAACTGTGCAAAATCTCACTGTATATCCAGTCACCATTTATCTGTAGTTTTACATCGGGATCAAATCAAACACTTTTTTGTCAAACAGATTTCGTCAATATATATATTAACCTAAAAAAGGAAAAAAAAAATTAGTCATATAAAATATCAGATATCAGATCTAATTCTTAGGATTTGGAATTACTGTTTCTCTTAGAGAATTTTTTGTGTTTCCTGCGACATTTTCCGATAATTTTAGCTAGATAATTAGATAATTTTTTAAAACCGGCATAAAGTTATTTTATAATTGTATTTCCATTTGTTTCTTATCCATTATGCAATTAAGCTTTGCATTTAGGGGTGTCCATGGAATTTTCAGTGTTTTGGTTATGACAGCAATGTAGCGGTGGGTTCTAAAATCAGGGTTTCCTTCTCCTAGATAGAATGCCTTAAATCTAAGCAGCTGGTTATAAGGCGCCAGTTTTCCACATTCGGCATTCTTCGGCGCTGGTCTTAGTTATCAGAGGCTATTTAAGACCTATGCCACGGTAGCATTTTCTAGATAGTTCCAACATTTGAAACATAAATACGTATATAATCATTTATATACATTACGAGGTTTTTTTTTTTTTTCAATTTGATATGGATAAACAGAATTCAGCACTAATACATACAACGTAGTTTCTAAAGAATTAATGAATTTCTTTTTAATCCGATATTTTCATTACTTCAAACATTATTTATAATGGATACCCGTGTTTGAAATAGACGCCCCTCTATTTTAACCACTGTGCATTACATCTACTGGCATGCGGACCCAAAAAAACTTAATAAAGAAAATGTGCTCACCAGCAGTGCTCGAACCTGTCCTAGGAGAATTCGCCGTTTTATCCGGAGTGCTTAAATGGATAAGTGCAATCTTGCTAGGATTTAATGTTTTCTGTGGTTTAGTGGTCTAAAGGCAATCTCTTTCTGTTTACTACTACATCATCATCATCATCATCATCATCATCATCATCATCATCATCATCATCATCATCATCATCAGTGCCATGCCAGAGTGTTGTCGTAAGCCCCTGTGCAGCTGAGCTCTTGGACAGTTTTCTGCATATAGCTGGTTTGTAAAACTGGACAGGAATTCATTTAGGCACAGCGGGTCTTGGTGCTGTAGGCCTGATGTAGCCAATGTCCACTGACCTGAAGAATCCCCTCGGTCACAGACGGGTAGAACCCCCCTGTCCTAGTAGTTAACTTCAGTCCAGGAAGTGATCCTTTCAGCAATGCCGTTTCACTAATTATAATGTTTCATCACCGCACTAGCTGCGTACATGCGTATGAAAACAGGTTCCCCACATTGTACTAGATGGCCGATGAACTTACAAGAAGTTTCCATATGACCTTTGAAAAGTCTTGTTTTATATTGTGATGCATATCTAAGCAACTTCTATACAATAAAATCCCGGAAGTGTAATCGGTTTAGTAAACAAACACCTGACCATGCAACAGTTAGTACTCAGTTTCATTTTACTAATTTCACTGGTAGTGTAAGCTGACATAACCTTTCAGGATATAATATATTAAAAAGGATGATTACTAAAATTGATCGGGTTTAACGAATTTGACTGGTGTTGAAAATAGTCACAATATCAAGATGTAGAGAAATCAGGATGTATGTAAGCCGCCGATTAGTGCTCGTATTAGCGGAATGAATAATTACTCGGACAACCAAGTGTAGGGTAAAGATGATAAACGCGACACAGTTTTAAGCGATATTTTGGAGCGACAACGAAATTAATCCGACCACAATTTTAGAGAGTTGACAGTATGAGACTGCTACCCGGGTTATGGCTCTGATTAGCAATATTTATTCTGTTTAATACACAGAAATGTGGCACAAGGCCTAAGGGGGGATTGGGGAAAGGACGATCTTCTGTCTTAACTATAAGTTAGCTAGCCGCAAACACTGACCCAATCGTGCAAACACTATCCCTTACACCAAAAGAACACATTCATACGTACCTTTCTTAATACATTCACCATAATACCTCATTGTCTCTATGAAAATACTAACTAGTCCCCATATTTACAATTCATTGTCTGTGGGGGTGGAATAAAACAACAATTCTAAAAACTAGCCCCAATGAGTAATTACAATATGAAAGCAAAATCTATTTACAAGAAACTAAAGAAAATAATATTAATAATAAAACTACCGCAATCACTAAATGTGGCAGAAATATCAGTTCACTGGCCGAAATCACTGCGGGATTATTATAGTATAAAACATTCATTCTTCACAAACACTGATATACACTCATTCAGACACAACAACAAATACGAAAAACACTCACCCGAAACGAAAGGGACTCCGCATCCACCAGTGGACTGACATTACTGACCACCTAAGGAGGTAGGGAATGGGTAATTAAACTTAAAGAAAAATAGGGACAGAAATAAAGGGGGGCAATTAGCATACATACCCTAGCTAAGATAACTTGAAAGAAAAAGAAACTAAAGCATCAAAACTGTACCTAACCCAGGAAAAACAATATCCTGATACTTAACCGGCATCAAAGTGCCACTAGGGTCAGCCCCTTTTACACGACACAATCGATCAAGATTCACCGACCTTTTGCTGAATTCCGACGTAGTGATGGCTCTGATTAGCTTCTGACGAAATTTCTCGGGACCCTATTTATAGCTTAAACCGAATGTATATACTACCATTTTAAGTGATAGGATTGGACGAAGATTTTTGTTATAGACGTGGCCACGGTTAACACTCTGGTTAACCGGGTGCGTCAATAGTTAGGCTTCAAATTAAAGATTAAGAGGCTTTCTATCAGTTTAGGTTAAGCGTATTCTTTGATAACATGCGTAGTCTGTTCTTTATTTTACAGTAGAATAATATGTATATGTAAACGGCCAAAACAGTCTGATCAGGTAGAGATGACATTAGTAAGCTCTCGATAACGACGCGAAAAGAATGCCACATAATGACGGGTTTAACGCTTCAATTACCGGTGTTTAAATTAACCACATCTGATGGACTATATATGTGAATTTAAGCTATATTGCAAAGAAAACATTTAATTTGGATAATCAATCTAGAGTCGAGTGTAAGATAGTTAAATACCATTCGTGATGGCCTTGTGTTCAAATTAGACTCGGTTATCTGAGTTGATTATTTCAGCTACATTTGAATCCGTATGAAACTTTTTGCTGCAACCAAAATCCACAAAACGCCATCAGTTTATCACTCCAAAAAACGATTTCCACACACCTTATAGAATCGTGTTAATTATTTCTAGTGCAGTTAAATAGCAATCTAAATCCAGTGCTTGATCGCATTACATTCCAGAGAAATCTACAAAAACAGACTCCCTCATTTACTTTGAGCATAGGCGCCAAAATGAAATGTTCCGGACAGGGATATATTTGTTCGAAGTAGCAAAGTGGTTGTTGTCTATTGTAACCGGGTAGGACAATCTAGCAGGTAACCGTAATGGACTGGTCCTCATCGTAGTGGTAGGCAATAGGCGCAGGCAATAGGCGTAGTCAATGTACCTCCACATCAGTGTGTATTTATGGCTGACACCAGCCAATCATATTAATGTGAGGGGGAACCCACGTGTTTGCATATTCATTACATCACAAAACCTAATACCCTAGGTGTTTCTGCAGTGGTTTCCTTAGCAAGTAATTTTTTTAAGAACTTGATTTGTCAAACAGTTTTTGAATTCCCAGTTGAATATATCCAAAACTACATGCTAGCCGAGGCTATAAAGCAAAGTCTAATCTGCTATTTAACACCTAGCTGGTGTCCGAAAAGAGATGATTTTATTCTTTGCTCGAGAGTATTTGTGCGAAAGAGATCAAACGGTTTTGAACTCGGCATGCCGATACATCTAACCGCCCAGTAGCCACTATGCTATATGCACGTCGATGTATACTGACTTGAGCATTAATATTAGACACTTGTTATCATTTCTCGTATTTAATTAAGTAAATTTTAGTATGTTTCCTTTGCTGTATAACTGACTTAATGCTTCTCTTTATATATATATATATATATATATATATATATATATAAATATATTATATATATTTACTTATTTAATATTTGCTTTCTTTATATATATATATATATATATATATATATATATATATATATATATATATATATATATATATATATATACAAAATATTCTTCTTTTCTCAGTGTCCTTTCTTTCGTTTTGTCTTTGATTCGTTCTTTCTTTCATTCTTTCTTCCTTCCTTTTGTTCTTTCGTGCTTTCATTCTTATTTTCTTACTTTCATTCTTTCTTTCTTTCTTTCGTTCGTTCTTTCTTGCTTTCTTTTTTTTCTTTCTTTCTTCTTTTTTGTTGTTTTTGTTGGTCTTCTTCTTCTTCTTCTTCTTCTTCTATTACTTTATTTTACTTTCCTGGTATTGCAATATTCTGCTCATATCGTTCGTTTTACCAATAGTAGTAATTCTGAAAATGGCCAAGGAATCATCCAGTAACCATTTACAACAGTTAACGTTAGTGTCGTTTGAAATTTATAAAATATTTTATTAATATGCTTTTTCAAGAAATTAGACTTCGAATTAAGCTAACTATTACTATTATTTGCCTTACCGCACAAATCATATGAACAATCTCTTTTTATTGTTCGATCACTGCAGTCAAGGTCGCTCAATAAATTAATGTGGGACACCTTGGTAACACCACTGACCATATGCGGTAAGATAAAATTCGAAATTTATTACGGCTTTAAATAACCCACAAAATGTTGATAAACTGATACAAACAAATCAGTCTGGTACTGATGGAGTTTCCTTCCAAACTATTTGTATTTGGTACTGCGGAAATTTCGCAGTCACATTATATTGTCATTTTCTCTTCTGAAATGTGCTACCTGTTATTTCTGATTCTGTTTGCAGGGTGATGTGTTTTTTTTTTTTGTTTTTTTTTTTTTTTACTTATTTGATAAAGATATTTGTGATATTGTAGCCCTACGAGGATATATCGTCTGGAAAAGGATCATTTTCTTTAAGATTTATAAGATCCATTCGCTTGAAGCTATTTTCCTCATTGATCTGAGAAAAGGTTCGTAAATTGTTCATAGTTTATATATTTTTGAAAGAGTCGGGTGCCATACATGTCATTTATGTGAAAGTCGAGACCTAGCGAAGCTATTTAAGAACATGTCACGAGTTCTCAAGTTAATATTTTGCTTTTGTTTTAACTTTTGATATGGAAAAAAGTACAGCACCTCTAAGTTATATTTCTATATCAGACTCTTTGCTTTCATGCCCCACATTTTGAATCATGCGATTCTTTCCTTCTTTCTTTTTTCTTTCTTTCGTGGTCTCTCTTTCGGTCTTTCTTTCGTGATCTCCTCTTCTTTCTTTCTTTCTTTCGATTTCCCACTTTCTTTCGTGTCCCCTCTCTCTCTCTGCCTTTCTTTCGTGTTCTCTCTTTCTTTCTTCAGTGTTCTCTCTCTCTCTCTTTCTTTCATATTCTCACTTCCTTTATTTTTCTTTCTTTCATGTTTTCTCTTTCTTTCTTTCTTTCTTATTCTTTCTTTTTCTTTCTGTTGTGTTCTTTCTTTCTTTCTGTCTTTCTTTCTTTCTTTCTTTATTGTTATCTTTGCCTTTCTTTCGTGTTCTCACGTCCTTTCTTTATTTCTTTCATGTTCTTTTTTCTGTTTTTTTTCTTTCCTCTTCTCTGTTCCTTTCTTTTATTTTCGTGCTCTCTCTCTTTCTTTTTCTTTCTTTCATGTTCTCTCTTTCTTTCATTCTTTTTCTATCTTTTTCCTTTTTCGTGTTCTCTCTTTCGTTCTTTCTTCATTTCTTTTTCCTTCTGTCGTGTTTTCTTTCTTTCTTTCTTTCTTTCTTTCTTTCTTGTTATCTCTGTCTTTCTTTCGTGTTCTCACGCCCTTTCTTTATTTCTTTCGTCTACTATTTTTCCTTTTTCTTTCTTTCGTGTTCTCTCTTTCTTTTTTTCTTTCTTTCGTGTTCTATCTTTCTTCCTACTTTTATTCTTTCTTTCTTCTTTCTTTCTTTCTTTCTTTCTTTCTTTCGTGGTTTCTATGCTTTCTATTTTTTCGCGGCCGTTATCTTTCACATATTAGTTTTTTCGTGTTTGGATTTATTAATGCGTTTATCATAATGTATAATTTTCTCGCACGTCCCTCCATTTTATTTAAAAAAATAACTCTCACTCTCTCGCTTAAATATCTCTCTATATATTTCTATCCCTTCTTTATTTTTATTCTTTTAGCTTGCAAGTCATTTTCGTCAGTCCTTACTCTCATCCCACTCACTATTTTAATAGATATCACCCCATCTATTTCTCTTTACACTTCTTTCCAACTCTCTGTCACTCTTTATTTTGGTATCCCTCTTTCTTTCTCAATGACTTCATTTCTTCTTGTTTTCTCCTCTCTACGTTACATTTAAATATCTCTCTCTTCCTACAACACCCTCGTTCCATCGCTCCTCCCTTCCATTTCTTCTTCTTCTTTTTAAAATCATTATTCTCTTTCTTTCTTTTCTGCTTGTCTTATTTACACGGTGTGTACCGTTTTTTATTTCGCATTCTCGCCTTACGCCAGTGATCGGATCTCTCGACTCATTCGCTGAAATGTAATATATTTGTTTCCGCATGTAACTCGTGAACTTTATTGGTATAAATAATGCCAAGTCGGGGAAATGACGAGATTAACTGGTTCTCATAATCGGTGATAAATATGTCCGCAAACAGACTAACCATCCGGCGACAGTAAATGGATTTTTTTTCGGAATGAGCTGGGACGAGGTAAGAGAGCAGAATCGAATGTAAAAGCTACTAAGTTGAATTATCTTGGGAACTGCGCCAATTCTTCAGTCATCCCCTTTCCAAATTCTGTTAGAATTTTCTGCTCCATTTGTAATTTTTTAAAACATTGCATTAAATTTTATGCCAGATCTGTCGATTATCCACGTTTTCCAGCTTGATAGATATGCCTCCGTTCGTATCTTTCTATCACTTTCAATATAAATCTATCTAGCCCACACCATTTGATCCTGCCTGCCATCGCAATGTGTAACTATAATTTCCAATCTGCTTCTATCTATCTATCTATCTATCTATCTATCTATAACAGTTAAGATTTTTCTGTTGGTTGGAAAGATAGATAGATGTTCTCTCTCTCTCTATTTCTCTCTCTCTATCTTTCTATCATTGTCAAGATTTTTTCTATCTATCTATCTATCTATCTATCTATCTATCTATCTATCTAGAATAGTTAAGATTTTTCTGTTGGTTGGATAGATGGATAGATAGATAGATAGATAGATAGATGTTCTCTCTCTCTCTCTTTCTCTCGCCCTCTCTATCTTTCATTCATTGTCAAGATTTTTTTTTACTATCTATCTATCTATCTATCTATCTAAAAAAGTTAAGATTTTTCTGTTGGTTGGGTAGATAGATAGATGTTCCCCCTCTCTTTCTCTCCCTCCCGCTTTCTCTCCCTTTCTCTATCTTTCTATCATTGTCAAGATTTTTCTTTTCTATCTATCTAGAACAGTTAAGATTCTTCTGTTAGATAGATGTTCTCCCTCTCTCAATTTTCTGTCAATCTATCTATCTATCTATCTATCTATCTATCTATCTATCTATCTATCTATCTATCTATCTATCCCTCTCGGTTCGCAAATAATTATTCATTCAAATGTATCCCTATTGTTTTTTCATATCTATCTATACATCCTGGTTCATATGTGTTTGTGCCTCTATGTTTCTAAGTCTTTATCCTATACTATTCTTATCTCTCTATCCCACCCTAACGCTCCTGAGAATATTTAGTGAATTGTAGAATTGAAATTGTTCAAACAAGAGGTTTTGTTTTCATTATGGTCTCCCATAAATTACATTCATTTTACTCTTACAACTTTTTACTGAAGCATTATTGTTATTTGACGGTCACCGTGTGTGTGATTAATATTGTAATTCATAAATTTCAAAAACGTTTTCCTTACATTTTTATACAACATCTTACCGTCATTTATCAGTAAATTATAACATTTTCCCGGATATTAGGAGCATATTATTTCTTTTTGAACAAATTTATTGCCTAAAATATCACACTCTATGTATGCGTTTCCTTATAAAATTACACATTTTCTTAACACATACACGTGTACAATAATAAATATATGAAATATATACTAATACTTGCAAAACGTATCTGTGAGTAAGAAGCACTAAATTATATTTTGTTGTATGATACTTTCGTACAACCTCGCTCGTTGAAATTTACCATATGTCGTCTAGGTTTTAATACCAAGGTAAACATTTATTTCAGTTTGCATACTAGGCACAATAAATATTGTGTCACCAAAGATTTAAGGATAAATTAGAGTTAAGTCATGTGTAAAAATCTTGCAGAAGCAGTGTCTTTATTACTCAAGACGTTAGTTAGAACTGGACTTTGACTTGCGAATTTTTTCGATATGGTTGTGTTTATGTTTTAAAACACGCAAATATGCGAATGGTAGAAATGTTATTTTTATTTAAATATTAAAAAAATTATGGAATAATCCAATTCGGATCATAAGCCTAAACTAAAAGATAGACAATAAAACCACAACAATGGTTGTAGCTTATTGTTCTTAGGTCGTGATAAACATATATTATTTGGGAATAAACTCTTTTAACTTTGAGAATAAATCCTATTTTTTCATTTGGAATTAAATAAACTCTACAAATGAAGTTTTATAATATTCAAATTAGAAGAATACGTTAGATTTAGTTGTGTCAAACCCCGTCATATTGTAAGAATCCAGGATATGTGTCGACCGTGAAAGCTATGGAAAAAGAATCGAATGGCAGGAAACAGGAACGATATGGAATGTTATTTTTTTTTTTTTTTGAATTTCTTTCTATTGCTTACAGCTCTTAGACAGGATAATCTTTCACCGTCTCTATCAATCCCTTTTCATACATATCAGTCTTTGTTCTGTACGTATTTAAATTTCGCTATTTAAACGATTTTATTGTTACCAATGATCCCAGTGCATGGTAAGAAAATATTATTATACCATTACACAACGACTGGCAACCTGAAACATTGATAAAAGTCAGGATAGATCCATAACATTATACTGCTAAAAAACAAAGTCTAAACCTACCATTCGAATGTTGGAAATGAAATTGAGACTCAGGCAACGTTTTTCCTGTTTAATGTTTATAATGTATCGAATCTTAGCCTTAGATTCTTGATTTAGAGGGCAGTGGTCTTTTATTTCACTATTTTATGTTCTAAACTTCAAAGATAGTCCTCTCTATAGCGCCTTTCTGAAAAAAATATTTATTTCAGTTACTTTCACCTGTTAGCAGCTTCAATTACTATAGGAGGCACGGTGGAGTAATAGATAGCGGCTCGGATTGGGGAATCGGCGAACTAAGTTTGAATTCCAGTCAAAATCCATTACATTCACTTACGTGCTAATACCCTTGGGAAAGGTATGAATCCTTTTCTTCTCCCCCAGATTTGGGTAAATAGGCAGGACAGACCGGGTTCTATAGTCTTGTATGGGATCTGGTCTACGCAGAGAGAAATGGGAAAAATCTTACTTTGTCAGTCATGTATTGAAAGATACATAATCGCCTATGTGTGTATCACGCATGGCACATAACTGTAACTGAACTATTATAGATTACTCATTTTAAAATTTCATATTTTTATCCTTTTACCGATTTTATCTGTAAAGCTAGAGATGGTTGTGCATGAAAAACCCTAATAAACCAGAAGATTTTGAAATCTTCAGACACGTCTCTTTAGGACCAACAACCGCGCGCGTTCACATTCATTAAAATGAACTTTGTTCCCCTTTACTAATATGGAAAATGAAATTTATTAGGTTGCCATGACCAGGTTCAAATGCCGATAACCATTCAATTGCTGCCAAGTCAATGGATGATTATAAATGTGCATGACAGAGGATTTTTTTACGTATAATTAATCCAGTAACCATTAGTTGTGTGCATTTAAGAATAAAGACTCGGTCTACGAAAGAATGAAATGATGTGACTTCTAGTTTAGTTGGATCTGCTAAACATATCTCCGAAAACGATAGACACAAATAAGTTATATAGCGAAAATAAGCGCTGGATACCTACCACGTATGGGGATATACCGGCAGGAAGCAACCGGATGTCTAGTCACACTGATTAGCTGCAATACAGCGAAACAGGCTTCTGCGTGGATGACTATGCTCTCGTTTGCCGATTGAGCACTATGAAGAAAGGAAATTTTCAGCAGTGACTGCTCATGCTACTAACGCATCGCTCTTTAGTTATGAATTGCCCAATCTGGCTACTGATTTGGCGTTTATATACATCACGTATGTAATACGTTAAAAGATTCCCTTTCTCTGCCGTGCGCCGATGGTTTGCGGTAGAGCCTCTGAGTGATGCCAAATCGGTCGAGTTTCGATCCCGAATTGAAGCAATCTGATGCATACCCACACTGAAAAGATGTGATCCGGCGAAACAGGCTTGTATGTGGATGATATATATATATATATATATATATATATATATATATATATATATATATATATATATATATATATATATATATTGCAGCCATTACGTCAAAGAATCGGAGAGAATATCAAATCAAATAATAATAATAATAATAAAGAGAAAGTGAATTTGGAATCACTCCCAGATACGTAGTAATACTCCCAATCGGAGTCCACCTGAGTTATGCACCCTTAATTTATACCTAACCGGATTTCAACTGCAATTTTATGCGCTGTTGATATCCAAACTTCTCAATATATCGACTACATATGAAGGTGATGCATATATTTGTGATTCTCTCATCAGACTGACTGTCATGGTCGGTATATGAGACTAACACAGCGTCACATCTTTAGTGTATTACTCTCTGACTCGACAAGAGCAATACTACGACTACTACTAATAATAATATATGAGTAAACATATTTCATTATAAAAGAATGGGTGATTTTTTTTTTATTAAAAGCCTGCAAATGTTTAAAACCCGCAAACTATTTTTATGCCATACTTGGGAAAATTTTATGTTATATGAGAATTAAAATTGAGTAATTAAGCATTTGGTGAAGGAATAATTGACCATACGTTGCAGCAAATTAGAAACACTGGTTAAGTTCAGATTAGACGTGATTGAAACTAATTATGTTGTAGAAGCTAATGCACTACTGATTAGTTGTAGGATAATGGAATATTTTATCTGACACCAGTGTGGGCTGCAAATAACAAAGTATCTGGAGTTGGATGCTGCACACGTTGACAAATGACAATCAGAATCGATACTTCAACACCCACATACGTTTGGTATTTTAAACGTAATTAAAGGCTTTAGAATACAATCAACATAGAACATGTAAATACTTGGCTCCATGTCTACATGATTTGAAAGCAACAATAATCAAACAAATGTGATTCTCTTTAGAGCAGATTGAATAAAAAACAGTCGTTATATTGTTTATACCCTGATTATTGTTCTGAAAACATTACTGACAACTGTAGCAATATTTAACCGTTGCTAAATAAGTTTCAATATTTGTATTACTTATGTTCTTTTTTTTTCTGCAATACCTTACCCTATTTTGTTGCTTTCTGTTGTGAGGGCGTGCTGTCGACTTATTGTCTCCTGGTTATCATTTCCTGCATGCAGAATGCATCGTTCGCTCCTGATTATACAAATGCTGTAAATTAAACAGAAAATCTGCAAAAGTGCATTTGAATAGGACCAATTCTAAGAGTATAAAAATTTGGAAGAATCACCTAACCCGGAGCATTCTAAACTAAAAGATAAATCTCAATCAGATGGCAGTCAGTTTCGCGAGATCAGACACAGAACGGAAGAAAATAAAAATTTAGGAAACACTTTGTATTTTGTATCTATTTTAATGTAGGTTGCATGAATCATTTGATGACATCGGGAACATATTTATCATGGTATCTAAGTGAAAAGGCATCAGAATGATGGGTTATCAAAAAGACTTTTTTCTAACTTGATCCACAAAAAGAAATAAACAAAAAATAAAATAAAATAAAAAAGAAATAAACAACAAATAAAATAAAATAAACAAAATAAGTAAAATAATCCAAATAAATTCATCCAAACTAATAAATAAGTAAATAAATTAAGTAAATAATAAACAAATTAACAAAACACGAACGCACGCATAAACACAAATAATCATAAGACAACCAACAATAAAATATATCTATAATAAATAAATAAAA